ACCTCCCCATCGGCCCTGCCCTGAGTGTGACGAGGTGCGGCGCCCCAACCCCCTGATGGGCCCTGCTCTGTGCATGACAGGGTACAGAGCCCCAACCCCCTTGATGGGCCCTGCTCTGTGCGTGACAGGGGGGAGCTCCCCAACCCCCGATCGGCCCTGCTCTGTGCGTGACAGGGAGTGGCGCTGCAACCTCCCCATTGACCCTGCCTTGAGTGTGACAGGGGGCGGTGCCCCTGCCCCCCAGTCGGCCCTACCCTGAGCGTGACTGAGGGTGGCATCGCAACCTCTTGATCTGCCCTGCTCTGTGCATGACAGGGTGCAGCGCCCCAACTCCCCAATCGGCCCTGCTCTGAGCTCGACCAGGGGCTGCACCTAGGGATTGGGCCTGCCCTCTGCCACCCGGGAGCAGGCCTAAGCCAGCAGGGCGTTATCTCCCGAGGGGTCCCAGACTGCAAGAGGGCACAGGCCGGGCTGAGGGACCCCCCCCTCCCCCCTGAGTGCACAAATTTTTGTGCACCGGGCCTCTAGTAGTAAAATAATTAAGGAGCGATGAGTTTTTAGTATTTACTTATTACCTTTGTATTTAATATAATTTACTTAATTTTAAGTCTATTGTTATTTTTTAAATAATTTAAATATTTAACAGCTTACATATTTCTTTATGGCTGATTTGAGCAAGTGGCTGAGAATATTCCTGAAAAGTTAACAATTGCTTCCCATGAGCTGGTATAAGCCAGTTCCAGTATGCTCCCACCCAAGTCTCTCCTCTACACACTGCAGCCCAACCCCCTAAAACCCAACTCTAATTGTGTCATGTCTCCAAAATGTCTTGTTCAAATGCACTGTCTGTAGAATCAGGTCGAAATTCCTCTGCTATCCTGCAAGCTCTCCCCAGTCTGGTGCTAAGCCATCCTCTCAATAGGACAACACAGCAGCTCCCAACTCCAGGTCTCTATTTGCCAGGACTTCTTTCTGGGATGTCAGACCCACATAGTCACCTGGACATCTCTTGGATGGTCCCCAGACATATCAAATTCAGCATTTCCCAAATAGAGTTCATCATTTTCCAGTCCCTTCCTCTCCCACAGTGCTTCTGTTTCTATAGTCTCTGATTTTCTTTTAGGTCCTCATATTTACCCTGTTCCCATCTCTCTTCATACTCTTTGGATACTATTTTCTTCCAGGAACTTTTTTTCCACTCCATCCCCTGCTTGACCCCTCCCCTACATTTTCTAGCTGACTCTCACTCATCCTTTATGTCTCAGCTGAGATGTTGCTTTCTTTGAGAAACCTCTGGGAAGGTTAGGGGCCCATAGCACCCCATTTCCCTGTTTTCCCATCATAGATTTTTCTGCACTGTATTAAAATAGTCTATTTAATTGTCTGTCTTCCCCAAAAGAGTATGAGGTCCATAAGGCTAATCTTGCTCGCCACTATATGCCCAGTAGCTAGCCCAGTTACTGGCACATTGCGGATGCTAAACAAGTGAGTAAATGAATAAATGAGAGGTATATCCTGTAGTTCCCTTACAAAATCTCCTCTCCATATGTCTTCTTTCCTCACCGTTCCCCAAGCACATCTTGTACTTTTTCACTCCCCCTCTCCCCAAAAAACTATAGTTTTTGCTTTTGCTTAATGGGACAAGGTCAGAAAATGTCACCTTCTGAAATTGGAACTAATAAAATCAAGATTGAATGATGAGATCAGCCATCTGAAAAATAATCCACTTTAAATGTTGGTTTGTAAATGTGGTACCGATGCATAAGGGTGCTTCTCAGGTCTCTATGGTGACCAGCATATTGCCACAGGCTAGGAATCTGCCAAATATCAAGAAAGCGATAATGTCAATCAATTGTAACCAGGTTGCTAGAGATAATGCTGTATAATCAGGAGGGCCCTTGTCTATATGGGGTCTTGGAAGGAGTTGAGCCAAAGAGCAACACATTTTCTGTGTTTGACCATCATCAGGTGTGACATGCAGACCTTTGCAGTTTACAAAGCATCTCCATGTGCCACCTCAGTGACTCTCCAAGGTGACTCCGCCAAGTGGGCCTTATTCGGCACTTTACAGAAGACAAAAATGAAATTCAGGCAAGTGAATCAATATGCCTTACCCTCCCACCCCCAATGCACACACCTTCACTAAGCTCACACAGAGTGAGGGGGTTGTGAAACCAAAGACAGAAATATCTCTAGGGCAATGACAGAAAGTTCTTGCAGTGACCAGGTGGTCAACCTTCTGGCTTTGGTTCAGTCTGATTCTGTGCTCAGCAGCTTTTAGCTTTGAAGAGGTTTGGCTCAGGGGGTGGGGGATTGGTAGAGAGGATTGGTGCCAGGTTAGTCTCTTGTTCATTCAGCAAACATTTATTGGCCAACTACTATGGGTCCAGTAGTGCTAAAAGCTGGGAATAAAGTGATGAATAAGACAGAGTTCCTTGCCAAGATGATGGCCTAATCCACGAGTCTGACAAGTAAATAATTACAAATGTGGTGTGATAGAAGCTCTAGAAAGGAAGCACAGGGTGCTCTGGGAGCCTGTAGAAGATACATCTACAGTGATCTGGGGGAGGGTTTGAAAGGCTTTCCAGAGGAATTGATGCCTGAGCCCATAATGAAAGGGACTTAGCAATACAAAAAAGGGCTAGAGAAATCAGAGGATGGGGAGAGAAAAACTTTTCAGGGACAGAGAGTAAGACAGCTGGGGTGGGGGCTTGAGTGTGTGGTAATGAAAGTCTAGAGAAGACAGATGGGGAGGGTTGTGAGAGGTGAGGCTGGAGTGATAATCATAAAATCCAAATTAATATAATAATAATATACAATACAACATAACAAGATCCATAATATTATTCACAATGATTCATCAGTTGATTAAATAAGTAATAATTTCTGTGGCTGGTACCAATACCTTTATAATCATAAGGTCTAACTTGAAGTGAATGATTCAACTGCTTCCTTGCAGAACATTACATGCACTATCTCCTCTCAGCCTCACAACAAACCTACTTTACAAATGAAAGGAATTTGCAGGTTAGAGAGGTTAAGGAGTATAGCAAAAGTCACATTGGTGGCCCATCTGGCATCAGGATCAAGGTTTGATATAGACTCCAGAATCCATCCTGGAAAATGGCTTGCCTAATAGCAAGCACGACACCTCATCAGATGTAAATAGGAATTTAGGCTTAATTCTAAGAGAAATAGAGTCATCGAAGAGTTTTGGGCAGGGAAGAGACACCTATATTTGCTTAAAAAAAACTCACCCTGGCTGTGGGGTGGAGGATGGACTAGAAAGGGGAGAAAGAGGCAGAGTGGGCAGGGGAAGGCTTTTGCTTTTTACTTCATCTCTCAGATGGTGGTGGCTTAAACTAGAGAGGGAGTGGTAGAGGTACAAAGAGTGGATTCATGAGATATGTAGGAGGTCACATTTACAGGCCCTGGTGCCTGATGGGATGTGGGGGTAGGGCAAGGCAAACTTAAGGATAACTCCTGGGATTCTGGCTTAAGCAGATGGATAAATGGCAGAGTCATTCCTCGAGAAGAGGAACATGGAAGGAGAAAGAGTTTCCAACATCCATTGAATTCACAATGCAGGTGGAGTTCGAGGTCCATGAGAGACACTACGGAGAAGAGCTCTGGGAGACAGCTGAAGAGATGTTTCTAGAGCTCTAAGAGGAAGTCTGGACCATCATCAGAATAAAGAAGCTGATTCCAGCTGTAGAAGAATGAGGTCTCCCAGATGTGCCTAGTGAAAAAGGCACGGGCGCCGAAACCGGTTTGGCTCAGTGGATAGAGCGTCGGCCTGCGGACTGAAAGGTCCCAGGTTCGATTCCGGTCAAGGGCATGTACCTGGGTTGCGGGCACATCCCCAGTGGGAAATGTGCAGGAGGCAGCTGATTGATGTTTCTCTCTCATCGATGTTTCTAACTCTCTATCTCTCTCCCTTCCTCTCTGTAAAAAATCAATAAAATATATTTAAAAAAAACAAACAAAAAAAAAAAAAAAAAAAAAAAAAAAAAAAAAAAAAAAAAAAAAAAAAAAAAAAGAAAAAGAAAAAGGCACGGGCAGGTCCACACCTCTGTTTGAGAGAGGACAAGGTGAAAAAGGTCTGCTAGGCACTGCAAAGGGTCTGCTTCCTCCTATGGGAGCAGACAGCTGGCAAACCCGATACAGAGCTGACACTTCAACTCCTTGAATTGAGAGGACCTTTGGAAGGTATTTAGTTCAAACCTCTCATATACAGGTGCCTTCCCAAACAGGCACCACTGCCAGTTTGAGCACTAGTGTATTTTGCAGTGAGGATGAGGGCTTGGGGCTGGGTCTCTAGCCATGGGAAAGGCTACTTAAAGTTAATCCCACTCTCTTAATGCCTCCAGTCCCTCCTTGGGATACAAGTCTCTCACATGTGTGACAAGAGACAGTATAGCACAGTGATTAAGCATATGGCCTTTGCAGCAAGACTGTCTGTGTTCAAAATCTCCACCAACATTCACTAGCTGTTCAACATTAGGCAAATCAATTCACCTTCCCTCCCAATTCTTAGCTTTCCCATCTGTAAAAAGGGGACAGTAGTTATACCAACCTCATAGGGTTTGTTGCAAGGGTAAAATGAATTAGAACATTCCCTGGCAGGTAGAAAACTCTATTGAGTGTTAGCTGATTCTGGCCAATGGAAATGTGTCTGACTCATTACAGTTTCCAAATCCATATTCTCCAGAGCCAGATTGTTCAATAATAATGCTTATGGGGGGCCCCCCGCGCCCCTCAGCCGGGAGGAGAGGGGCTGGCCTGCCGCCAGCGTCGGGAGAGCCGGCCCCCTCCCCCGGCCCTCTCGCAGCCAACCAAGCACTCCAGCGGGCCCCACGTGACCTGGAGTTCTAGACAAAGAAAATGTTCAAGCCCTCCCCCCCACCAACCCCCTCCCCCTCCCTCCGGCCCCCTCCGCCCCCAGCCCCATTGCCCCCTTCCCCTCCCCCCAGGCGGGCAGCTACTTACCGAGCTCCGGGGCCGGGCATCACACCTGAGCCGGACGGACGGCGGAGGGGCTGCACCTGGCCTTATGGGCCAGTTGAGTTGATGAGGGAAGAACTCTCTCCAGCCCTTGACCTCCCACCACTGTCTCCAGCCTAGAAAGAGGCTGAGAAGAAAGCCAAGGTGATTGCAGTAATGAACGCTGTGGAAGAAAACCAGGGGTCCGGCGAGTCTCAGAAGGTGGAGGAGGCCAGCCCTCCTGCAGTGCAGCAGCCCACTGACCCCGCGTCCCCCACTGTGGCCACCACCCCTGAGCCTGTGGGGGCTGACACAGGGGACAAGAACGCCACCAAAGCAGCTGATGACGAACCAGAGTACGAGGACGGCCGGGGCTTTGGCATTGGGGAGCTGGTGTGGGGGAAACTGCGGGGCTTCTCCTGGTGGCCAGGCCGCATTGTGTCTTGGTGGATGACGGGGCCGGAGTCGAGCACCTGAAGGCACCCGCTGGGTCATGTGGTTCGGAGACGGCAAGTTCTCAGTGGTGTGTGTTGAAAAGCTGATGCCGTTGAGCTCCTTCTGCAGCGCTTTCCACCAGGCCACCTACAACAAGCAGCCCATGTACCGCAAAGCCATCTACGAAGTGCTGCAGGTGGCCAGCAGCCGAGCCGGGAAGCTGTTCCCAGCGTGCCATGACAGCGATGAGAGCGACACTGCCAAGGCCGTGGAGGTGCAGAACAAGCAGATGATCGAATGGGCCCTCGGAGGGTTCCAGCCCTCTGGCCCCAAGGGCCTGGAACCACCAGAAGAGGAGAAGAACCCCTACAAAGAAGTTTACACAGACATGTGGGTTGAACCCGAGGCAGCTGCCTATGCGCCACCCCCACCAGCCAAAAAGCCCCGGAAGAGCACAACTGAGAAGCCCAAGGTCAAGGAGGTTATCGATGAACGCACAAGAGAGCGGCTGGTGTACGAGGTGCGGCAGAAGTGCCGGAACATCGAAGACATTTGCATCTCTTGTGGGAGCCTCAACGTCACCCTGGAACACCCTCTCTTCATCGGAGGAATGTGCCAAAACTGCAAGAACTGCTTCCTGGAGTGCGCGTACCAGTACGACGACGACGGCTACCAGTCCTACTGCACCATCTGCTGTGGGCGGCGTGAGGTGCTCATGTGCGGGAACAACAACTGCTGCAGGTGCTTTTGCGTGGAGTGTGTGGATCTCTTGGTGGGGCCCGGCGCCTCCCAGGCAGCCATTAAAGAAGACCCTTGGAACTGCTACATGTGCGGGCACAAGGGCACCTACGGGCTGCTGCGGAGGCGGGACGACTGGCCCTCGCGGCTGCAGATGTTCTTCGCCAACAACCACGACCAGGAATTTGACCCTCCGAAGGTTTACCCACCTGTCCCAGCCGAGAAGAGGAAGCCCATCCGGGTGCTGTCTCTGTTTGACGGAATTGCTACAGGGCTCCTGGTGCTGAAGGACCTGGGCATTCAGGTGGACCGCTACATCGCCTCGGAGGTGTGCGAGGACTCCATCACGGTGGGCATGGTGCGGCACCAGGGGAAGATCATGTACGTCGGGGACGTCCGCAGCGTCACGCAGAAGCATATCCAGGAGTGGGGCCCGTTCGACCTGGTGATTGGGGGCAGTCCGTGCAATGACCTCTCCATCGTCAACCCTGCCCGCAAGGGACTCTACCAGGGCACTGGCCGGCTCTTCTTTGAGTTCTACCGCCTCCTGCATGACGCGCGGCCCAAGGAGGGAGATGACCGCCCCTTCTTCTGGCTCTTTGAGAATGTGGTGGCCATGGGCGTTAGTGACAAGAGGGACATCTCACGATTTCTCGAGTCCAACCCTGTGATGGAGGAGGCCGTTGGCATCCACTGTGAATGACAAGCTGGAGCTGCAGGAGTGTCTGGAACACGGCAGAATAGCCAAGTTCAGCAAAGTGAGGACCATCACCACGAGGTCGAACTCTATAAAGCAGGGCAAAGACCAGCATTTCCCCGTCTTCATGAATGAGAAAGAGGACATCTTATGGTGCACTGAAATGGAAAGGGTGTTCGGCTTCCCTGTCCACTATACCGACGTTTCCAACATGAGCCGCTTGGCGAGGCAGAGACTGCTGGGCCGGTCGTGGAGCGTGCCGGTCATCCGCCACCTCTTCGCTCCGCTGAAGGAATATTTTGCTTGTGTGTAAGGGACATGAGGGCAAACTGAGGTAGTGATACAGAGTTAAAAACAAACAAACAAACAAAAAAAAACACACAAAAAAAACCACAAAGAACATGAGGATGGAAAGAAGTATCAGCACCCAGAAGAGAAAGGAATTTAAAACAAAAACCAGAGGCGGAAATACCGGAGGGCTTTGCCTGGTGAAAAGGGTTGGACATCATCTGGTTTTTCAATGTTAATCTTTAGTCCTATTTAAAAACAATATCATGTTCCCTAGCCCCCCCCCCCTTTTTTTTGGTCAGATCTTTTGTTTTCTACTCTTTTCAGAGGGGTTTTCTGTTTGTTTGGGTTTTTGTTTCTTGCTGTGACTGAAACAAGAGGGTTTATTGCAGCAAAAATTAACAACAAAACATTGTAACAATACCTTGCCGAGAGAGAAGAAAAAAAGGAAATTCTATGGAAATCTATATATTGGTATTGGATTTTTTTTTAACTATATAACTTTTTGTTGTTGTCTCTAGCCTGATCAGATAGGAGCACAAGCAGGGGGCGGAAAGTAGAGACACACTCAGGAGGCCGAGACCCCTCCCAGCCACTGAGCTGTCTTGCTAGCACCATTCCTGGTCATGCAAAGCAGAACCCAACTAGCAGCAGGGAGAGGACACCACAAGACCCTTTAAACAGTATTTCAGGTGCCTACCACACAGGAAACCTTGAAGAAAACCAGTTTCTAGAGCCGCTGTTACCTCTTGTTTACAGTTTATATATATATGATAGATATGAGATATATATATAAAAGGTACTGTTAACTACTGTACAACCTGACTTCATAATGGTGCTTTCAAACAGCGAGATGAGTAAAAACATCAGCTTCCATGTTGCCTTATGCGCAAAGGGTTTTAATCAAGGATGGAGAGGGGGAGAAGGTTCATCACCACCCAGGTGGCTTTTCCCCCTGGCGTGCCACGGGGGTGAAGGACGGTTTGGGGACCGCGTTGCCCTGCTTCTCCCTGCCAAAAAGGGGGTGAGAGGAGGTGGTCGGGACCGTGGACAGCTGAGAGCGGGATTCATCCAGGATCACACAATAACCTTTTGATTTTTTTTTTCTCCCAAAAAAAGGAGACTCCCTCAGCAAGATGGCAGGATAAGGGGTCTCCCTTCCAAGTTTTTCACATTAGCCGATCTGAGGGCTCCTCGTGGTGGGATCAGAACTGATCCAGAGTGTGGGAAAGTGACCGTTAAAAACCCCACCTGGAGCGAATAAAAAAACATACAAAACGTAAAAAAAAAAAAAAAAAAAAAAAATGCTTATGGCATGCCCGGCTGATGTTGCTCAGTAGTTGAGCATCTACCCATGAGCCAGTTATGCACATGCCTGGGTTTCGGGCTTGATCTCTAGTGGTTGGGGGGGAGTAGGGGGCATGCAGGAGGCAGGTGATCAATGGTTTTCTCTCATCATTGATGTTTCTATCTCTCACTCCCTCTCCCTTTCTCTCTGAAATTGAAACCAATAGAAACATATTTTTTTAAATGCTTAGGGCATTCAGAAAGCTGGAACAACAACAAAACTTTCTGGGAAAAGAATATGATAGTTGGTAGTTCCAAGAATTTTACCAAAGGAGCCATCACAGGAAAAATCCAAACTTGGTCAGACTTTCTTCCCCTTTTTACAGTTTGGTATAAATTTTCCTCTGAGTCACCTAATGATAGCATTGCATATGGAGGGGGGCAGAGGTCAAGGTAGAATTCACATCTTTTCAGCTCTTAGAACTTCTGAGTCATAGTCTCAGATAATTCCATTTGAGCCTCTCATCAAGCCTGTGATGAAGGTGTCATTATATTCTTTGTGGAGATGGAAAGTAAGGCTCAGAGAAGTAAAAAACACAATAGGGATGGGGCTGGATGGAAACCCAGGCAGCCTGCTGTCAAAGCCTCCCATGAGGTGGGGAGTTGGTATTCGTGGTTCAGGGGGAAGGGTGTCCTTGACAAGAGCTGATTGGTCTCATGTAAGCCAATTCATGATTTTGGGCAAGGGGGCCCTGGTGGCAGGCCCCAGGCCAGGGCAATTCAGGCCAAAAGGCAAAGATGACTCGAGGTCTTTTGGAAAGCCCCACCACATTGGGGGCCATATGTTCACAATCAGTGTGTGTATAGTTACAGGGAGGGGGGCTGTCCTGGCCAGTGGCCAAAACAGATGTTTATTGTGAGACTTCACACAGCACAGAGCTCAGTAACCCCTAGCTATACTGGGAATTTGTGTGCCATAGTGGGGGTGAGGGCATGAGTGGTGTTTCTGGGTGAGATTAACATTTGAATCCACAGATTAAGAAAAGCAGATTCTCTCCTCAATGTGGGTGGGCCTCACCCAATCTATTGAAGGCCTGAACACAATAAAAAGTTTAGTAAGGTCCTAGACCAGCCGTGTGCAAACTACAGCCCGCGGGCCGGATCCGGCCCGTTTGAAATGAATAAAACAAACAAACAAAAAGACCGTACCCTTTTATGTAATGATGTTTACTTTGAATTTATATTAGTTCACACAAACACTCCATCCATGCTTTTGTTCCGGCCCTCCGGTCCAGTTTAAGAACCCATTGTGGCCCTCGAGTCAAAAAGTTTGCCCACCCCTGTCCTAGACAGTTTGCTCAGTGGATAGAGTTTCAGCCCGAGGACTGACGGGTCTCAGGTTCATGCCTCCAGTCAAAGGCATATACCAATTGCAAGTTGATGCCCTGGTAGGGCTCATTTGGGAGGCAACCAATCGTGGTCTCTCTCTCACATCAGTGTTTCTGTCTGTCTCTCCTCCTCCTTTCCACTCTCTAAAAATCAATGGAAAAATATCCTTGGGTAAGGATTTTAAAAAAAAGGTTGAATAAAAAGGAGATTTTTCTCTCTGTCTGTCTTGGAGCTGGGACATCAGTCTCCTGCCTTCGACTCAGACTGTAATTTACACCAACAGCTCTCCTGGGTCTCGGGCCTTTGCACTTGGACTGGAACTATATACAGGTTTCCCCTTCTATCTGAAAGTAGAGAGTTCCTATGAAACCTTTCATAAGTCAAAAGAGCATAAAAGTGAAGGAGCAATTATCTTAGGACACATCTTGCTAACAAATGCAGAAAATAAAATGAGGAAAGCACAGATGCTCACAGACACAGCTCAAAGCTCCATGGCTTGGTGCTGAGAGGATGAGTGTAGTTCCTGGGGAAGAGCCTGGCAGGGCCACTCTCCTGCTCAGGATGCATACTGCCTCTACAACTACAAACAAAACAAATACTAAACACTATTTTCACCTTTTTTCACAAAAGCTAAAATCCTCTTTGGATTTCCTTTAGTTACCATAAAAGGGCAATGATGCAGGCCTTTCCTAAAAACAAAGTGGTGTAACGTGAACTTTTGAAAAGCAAAGGACACCTGGATACCTCCTTGGTCTCCAGCTTGCCCACTGCACATCTTGCAATTAGATTCCAAAATTGCGTGAGCCAATTCTTATAGTAAATCTCTTCAGGTGTATACACACATACTGTTGGTTCTGTTTCTCTGGAGAACCCAGAAAAATACACCAATTAATAGTGTACTTTTGTTACTTTAAAAAATTTGTTGTTTCCTTCCACTCCAACATAAACTTCATGAGGGCTGAGATTTTTGTCTTTTTTGTTCACTGCTGTATCCTCAACACAATGCCTGGCATATAGTGGGTACTTAATAAATATATGTTGAGTGAATGATGGCTCTTATAATTGTACCTTGCTTGGGTGTCTTGGTTATTTTTTTTATTTTTGTGAGGTTTTTTGTCTCCCAGGAAGGAATCTGTAAGCCTCTCCACCACAGGAACTGGCCTTTGCATCCCCAGTGCCAGGCCAAGTGTCCACCAGCAAACATGACCACTACATCTAGAATGAATTGCCTTGCTATGATTCATTCAGAAGAACATTCTAGTTTCCAGAAACACACAGGACAGAGGCCTCCTCAGTACCTGGTTCAGGAAGATCACCTCTCTGCTTTCCCCCACCTCTCCCTGAAATCCCAAACTAGGCTGGGGCTGTCAGCCGGGTGTGCACACCTCCCTTCCTTCCTTGTCCTTTTCCTCCCTTCCCCCGCCCCGACCCTCCTGAGTACAGGCAGTTATCTGGAGGTGGTATTATTGCGAGTAAATTGGAAGTTGTTTTGCACAGGGCTATGTCTCACGCAGGTCGATTTGTATGCTTCCAGAGCACTTGTGACACTCCAGAAATGCCATAGCAACAGCCTGGCGCCGTAGTGCTCCCTGATGGAGATCAGGCAGGGGGAGCGGGTGTGCACAGCACCGAGAAGGCGGGCCAGGTAAGGGCACGCGCAGCAGGGAGCCGCTGCTTTCGCGGCCGCCACCTCTCTGAGCCTGGGGTTCCCCGTTGGCAACAGGGAATAATAACTCGCACGCAGGCTGTTGTCCAGCAGAAAATGAGATAATGGCCTGAACAGTTAGTAAAACTGTAAACCGAGGGCTGGCTATCAGCAATATGACCATTCATTTTCGCGATGTTGTCTTCTTTCCCAATTCTCCCGCCTTTCTGTGGCTCCCCCTGCCTGTCTTGCGCCCTGAGCCAGTGCCTGCCAGATTCCCCTGTCACAGGAGTGCGGTTCCTGCTGGTGCTCTTTTATTCCGTGCAAATAGCATGGCCCCTGTACACCTTTTAGCTATGAAGCCCACAGAGACACTGCCGGCTCATCCTGTGGGGACCAAGCTACTGATTAAATTGTATTCACTCTGCTTTTCGGTAATTCAGATTGACTGGGAGGAGGCCAGCTGGAATTAGTGACAAATTTGAGGCAGAGAATATTGAAAAAGAAAGGCCGTCTTATTGCCTGCAATGACACGTGATTAATTCAAAGATGTTCTCTGAGTGTTTCCAAGGAGAGCTTTAGTTAGTGAATAGATAAGACTTTTTTGTGAATTATTTGGGTGGACATAGACCTCAAGTCCTTAAAATCAGTTTTGATCTCTTCAAGGAGTTGAAAAGCAGCCCTTCCTTTTCCAACTACCTCCTCCCTTTCTAAATCTGAGTTTCTGATTTGAAAACAAGAAAGCACTAGGACAGGGGTGGGCAACCTTTTTGTGAGTGCGTGCCAAAACCAGCAAAATCTCTGCCTCAAAATTCTTCTGCCTGCCAACCCTAATTTTTTGAGAACATGTTACACCTACTTGATATCTCTTAAGGTGTACGTATGTGAAGAACCTTGAAGAAATAATAAAATTCATTCGAGCGACAAAAACACAGTATATGATGATGAAAAATACATTTATTTTTTAATGTATACATGTACACTGATAGTCCAACAGAAAACTTTATGACTCCGTTTGATATTATCAGTGGGACTTTTGCTGCTGCATCACTGATGACATTTTACATCAGGTTTATATTTCGTGACCTTCAGAGATATGCATGAGCTACTACTTTCATCTGTCAGGCTACTCCTATTATGAGACCTTAACAAAATTCATCACTGAGAACAAACATTCACAAGCATATGTGGATGAAAACATGGAGAGTAACGCTGTTGCAAAGTTTTTTAAACAGAAAAAATTTTCTGGAATGGCATTCCAAGTCCTCAATAGTTCGTTTTCGACACTTCTCTCTGGGACTCCTGTCTCTAATCGCTTTTTTTCAATGTTTTCCAAGTTAACTCTAAGGTCAATAAATTTCTGCTTCCAAATGGAGCTACTCTGAAATTCAATCAACTGCATTTCAAAGTCAGCCATGTCTATCCATGAAAACATTTGTAAGTTTAGTTCCTCCAGTTTCATGCTGTCTGGGAACCTCATGAATTTTGCTGTCTCT